ACTAGACTTCCCATATATAAATCTTCACCTCCGGACCATTCTGGAACTCCTCGTGGCGTCCGACATCTTATCCGGGACTCCGAACAACTTTTGGTAACCACATACAATTTCCCATTACAACTCTAGTGTCACCGAACCTTAAGTGTGTAGACCCTACGGGTTCGGGAACCATGCAGACATGACCGAGACATCTCTCTGGCCAATAACCAATAGCGGGATCTGGATACCCATATTGGCTCCCACATGTTCTATGATGATCTCATCAAATGAAGCACAATGTCGGGGATTCAATCAATCCCGTATACAATTCCCTTTGTCCATCGGTATGTTACTTGCCCGAGATTCGATCATCGGTATCCCCCAATCTCGTTACCGGCAAGTCTCTTTACTCGTTCCGTAACGCATGATCCCGTGGCTAACTCCTTAGTCACATTGAGCACATTACAACGATGCATTACCGAGTGGGCCCAGAGATACCTCTCCGTCATACGGAGTGACAAATCCCAGTCTCGATTCGTGCCAACCCAACAGACACTTTCGGAGATACCTGTAGTGCACCTTTATGGTCACCCAGTTACGTTGTGACGTTTGATACACCCAAAGCATTCCTACGGCATCCGGGAGTTGCACAATCTCATGGTCTAAGGAAAGATACTTGACATTAGAAAAGCTCTAGCAAACGAACTACACGATCTTGTGCTATGCTTAGGATTGGGTCTTGTCCATCACATCATTCTCCTAATGATGTGATCTCGTTATCAATGACATCCAATGTCCATGGTCAGAAAACCATAACCATCTATTGATCAACGAGCTAGTCAACTAGAGGCTCACTAGGGACATGTTGTGGTCCATGTATTCACACATGTATTACGGTTTCCGGTTAATACAATTATAGCATGAACAATAGACAATTATCATGAACAAGGAAATATAATAATAACCATTTTATTATTGCCTCTAGGGCATATTTTCAACAAGCCGTGCGTTCACCGACGCATCCACAAATCCAGGCAGACACGACCTCATTGCCACCCCAAACGGACGAAAAGCGAATGTCCGTTTGCGACCCAAATGATCCGCGCGTGTCACATTTGCGTTGGGGTGAACGAAAACATCGGCCCAACGAACGGACCCAAACCTAAACAACGTCCGATGCCCGCAGCCAAGGTCACAAGGCTCCTCTGGTCCTACGCGTGCCGGGGGTCGGCGGTGGGCAGCACCGACGACCCAAGGATGAACCCGCTAGCGTCGACGGCGCCAGGCTCGCAGCGCGGAACCGCGCGTACTACGACGCTGTGGCTGCAAGCGGTGGCCCGAGAGGGCGGCGTGGCCACGTGTTCTTCCTTGGGAAGCTCGAGTGCGACAAGGCCAAGCGGCTCATGGATCGCGTGGTGGCATTCATAGCTGAGGCATGAGCTGCATGTATTGCCCGTATTTTCTTCAAGGAGGCACACATACATAGCACGTCAACATCTGCTTCCGAGGCTCATGTCTCCAGCAGAAAAACCATTGGGACCTATCACGCCAAAAAAGCACGCGCTGACCATTCCCAACTGTGATCTTAACCATTCCCTCAAAAAGAAAAAGAAAAACTGTGATCTTAACTATATGGGGAAATCGGCAAATTTGACAATTTTGACCTCTGAACGAAATCAATTCACAGAATAAACTGGGTGTGAAACTATTTCACACCCCCTGACCCTTTTGTGTAGCGCCCACGACGCCGGCGCCACACCCTATGGTGCAGCTCCTAGCTAGCGGGCGTTGCACGCCAGTCCACCGTGGCAGCCCTGGGCCCTGCATCCAACTGTGCAACGCCTCGGTGCTAGGCACCACACAATGTGCAGCGCCTAGCCGTCGGGCGCTGCATGTGAGTTATGTCCAGCCGCGGCGGCCCTCTCCTCCCCCACCCACCCCATTGCAGCAGTTACAGAAACAAAAGAAGTCGCGGCGGCGGCCTTATCCACTCCACCTCTCAATCCCCTCTCCCAAATCCTTCAAATCCGACGATTTGGTCCATGGATTTCATCACCAATCCATCCTAGAAGGTACTCTCCTCTGATCCCCTTCTTTCTATCCATAGAAAATATAGTATTTCGAAGATTTGGGAAACCTTTGTTTGATTTGATTAGATTAGAATCTTGCATGTATTATAATCTTGCATGTATTAGAACTCTTGTTTGTTTGATTTCGGGAACCCTAGTTTAGTTTATTTTTTTCGAAAAAATATGGTTGGATACATAGGTTGACATGTTATTTCTATGGAAAATATATTTGTATGAGGTAGGCCTAGTTTAGATTTTTTGTGTTGAACTTATATTTGTTTGACAAGAATGCTTTGAATACATATGCTTTGAATTTTGCATCTAGTAGGCGTAGTTTAGTTTATTTGTATTCGAAAGATAATTGTGTTGACAAGAAAGTTTTTTTTAATTGTTAGGATGGTTTGGCTTCTCGATGATCATTGGGACAAACAACACCGGTCGTATGCTATGTCGGTGGAGCAGCGGGTAATAATGAAAGTTGCCGGTGTTATGAATTTCATGTTTATTTCAAACACAAATGCCCCATATTTAATGATTTGTTTGTTTGTTTGTAGGAGCTTGCACCTTTGAAGCTTCGGTCTCATGGGGCCACCCTTGGGTGGATGCCCTATGATGAGCAGTACACACCATATGTAAGGGAGACATGACTTCTCCCTTTCATTCAGTTGGTCAGCCGGTCGACGCCACCCAACAATGCTGCAGCACTCACCGCGCTTATTGATCATTGGAGGCCGGAGACACACACTTTCCATCTTCGGACCGGGAAGATGACCGTGACGCTCCAGGATATGGCTATGATCACCGGTCTTCCTATCGAGGGTTCCTCTATGTATGAGCACCGATTCTGATGGGTGGCGCGAGCAGATGCATGCCCTTATTGATATGGTTCCTCCGGAGCCTCCACAACCAGAAAGAGAAGACAAGAAGAAGGAAAGAGTCGCAGCCGGTGCTCCTTTCACGTGGATTACAGCGAACTTTGGTACTTGCCCTGAGGATGCTAATGAGGACACGGTGAAGACATATGCTCGTATCTACATGTGGTACGTGATATCCAAGACTATGTTTGCTGATGGCACATGCAAGAATGCTCCGTGGATGTGGCTGAAGGCGTTGACCGTCTTCGATAGCAAATGGAGTTGGGGTTCGGCGACACTGGCTTATTTGTATCGACAAGTATGAAGTTGTTTCTTTTTCACTTCATTGCTACATTATCAATGCGATCTTGCTGTTAATTCAACTATGTTCTCTTGTATGTGCAGCTGGACGAAGCCTGTTGTGGGCCATCTGGAGGTATTGGTGGTTGTATGCTCGCACTTTCCATATGGAGCTGGGAGCGTTTGCCGGTTGGACGACCGAAGACCGTGAAGTACGAGGATTGGGACGACAAAAATGACCCACTATGGCTCCCCACTTGGGCTCATAAGTGGGATGTGTTAAATGAGAAGACGGATGATCCATCGGTCATGTACAAGTTGTACAAGAGCGAGCTAGACGCGATCACGCCTGAGCAGGTGAATCGACATTGCATAAGCGATTATCATGCTTCTATCGTAACTCGATATCAATTTTGCATTCTATCCCATTTTGCAAGTGGAATGGGAGCCGTATGGAAAAGGAGAGAGTTGTGGTAACCCTATAGAGTTCAGGCTGAATCCGATGTGCACTAGGGATAGGGATCTCTGGCATATGCGGTGCCCACTCATATGCAACTGGGCGGTTGAGCTTCACCTGCCACATCGGGTGTTCCGCCAGTTTGACTTGTTCCAGTCATTTCCGCCGCAGTGGGAAGACACGAACAAGGTGCTACACGGGTAAGATATAATTAACCTTGAGCACTTTGCGGTTTCTCGGCGGTTTCAATGGTGGTAATATTCTGTTTGTAACTTGCAGGTTGGATAGGAAAAAGCAACGGAAGATCTAGGATTGGGCCTCGCATCACTGGAAGTATGTCGTACAGTTCGCGCTTAGTGTGGAGCAAGCTAGGGCTGGAAAACGAGCGCAACTTCGTGAGCACTGCCCGATCGCGTTCAACAACTATCTCACATGGTTTCTTGCAAGTACCCGTGTGGAGGTATGCAAGCCGGTGTATGCTGATGAGATCTTGGAGGATCCCACCATTTTTGATGAGCTAGCCCAACACCAGTACAACGCATTAGTCAGGAAAGGCAACTCAGTGATCCCTTCAGCTCCAATGATGAACTTTGTGGTATTTGCCCTTTTTTGCTTTTCCATTCGCAGTATTCTCATCTTCGCTTGCCTAACACGTTAATACCGTTTCTGTTCATAGCGTGCCCAGATCAAGAAAGCAGCCGATGAGACCGAGACTATTCTGGAAACAACCCCGGCTGGCAAAAGCGATGGGGAAGGTGCACTTCGAGCATTCCTTAAGGTTCACATCTCCTTCAAACTAGCACTTAACATGTTCATTGCTACGTTCGATGTCTCATTCACTTGTACATGTTGCAGCGCCAGGGCCAAAAGTTAAGGCGTCTATCAAACCTTTTCGGTTGTCGTGACCCCGAGTATGTATCACCAGAACGGTCTAGGTCGGCGGCACCATCAGATCCTACTTCGGGCTAGGGCCATGGTGATCCTTTGGAGGATGAGGATGTGGGTGTGATCACCCAAAAGGTATGGCATGAGCATATATCCAATTGTTGATGCATTGCTAACTATATCCTCACACACGGTTTTTCCATATCTTTTGTTGATGCATAGGTTGATGATGATATGACCTTGGGGACGTACAATGTCCGGTCTGCATACGAGTTAAAGCCTAGGAGGGGAATCAATAAATACACACCTGAAGACTTCACCCATAAAGACAGAAGGACGGTCGACACCTCGCGGATGGCGGCTTTGGATGACTATTTGGATGACGATGTGGATGACGTGAAGGAACTAGAGCCGGAGCCGGAGCCGGCACGGGTTCCTCTTCCTAGGAAGGTGAAGAAGATTGGATTCAAGAGGGGGGAGGAGCCAACAAGCGCTCAAGGAACTAGTCATCGTCCTCTATTTGTAATGGTAGCTCTATGTTGAACTCTATGTTGGTGGTAATGTTGAACTTGTCGTGATGGTCACTCTATGTTGAACTTGTCGTGATGGTCACTCTAGGTAATGTTGAACTTGAAGCTGTTAGTAATGTTGAACTTGTCGTGATGGTCACTCTACGAAATGCCTTAGCTCATAGTAATGTTGAAATTATTGTTTATTCTGTGATGCAACTATCTATGACTTAAAATCACCTAGTTTGAGCAAAAGAAGGCAGGGCAACAGAGAGCAAAAGAAGGCAGGGGGCAAGTTACAGACCTGCGTGGCGCCTAGCAAGCAGGCGCCACACTGTACAGTGCAGCGCCTAGCACCTGGGCATTGCACTGTATAGTGTGGCGCCTGCATGCTAGGCGCCACACAGGTTTGTAACTTGTTACTCTTTCTATTGCGCTCTGGATAGTTACAGACCTGTGTGGCGTCTAGCATGCAGGCGCCACACTATACAGTGCAACGCCTAGCACTTGGGCGTTGCACTGTGTAGTGTGGCGCCTGCACGCTAGGCGCCACACAGGTCTGTAACTTGCCACTTTTCTGTTGCTCTCTGGATAGTTACAGACTTGTGCAACGCCTAGCATGCAGGCGCCGCACTATACAGTGCAACGCCTGGCCAGTGGGCGTTGCAC